CCCCTCAGAGCTCAGGGATGGTGCTCCCCCGGCTGACGACTCCCTGCCTCTGCTCACCGACTCCTCCGACTCCTCCTGTCAGTGGGAGAACTTCTCCATGGAGACCTACCGGAAGAACCTGAAGACCAGCGTACTGGGAAACACCCTGCTGTACGCCGAGACCGTCACGTCCACGATGGATCTGCTGGACGGGTGAGACGTCCTCATCTGAGGTCTTCTTTCATTGCTGCTTGATGATTGGCTGCTCAGAAACCTGGCTGTAAAACTCCTCACCGTACCTTCATCACGTGACCACAGACGTGACCTCTCTGATCTGAGGTCATTCTCAGCTGTTGGTCAGAAAGTTCTAAGACAAACTGGTTTAATTATTGGGTCACAATCAACGTGGCTTTAGACGAATACTGCCACCTACTGTACTAGAGTGTGTAGTGTCCTGGTATGACCAGTGACTTTTTTGTGACAACGCAGCCAACTCCTTACACCTGGACGCTCCAATCATTTTTTTTATTTATTTGTATTGATTTTTAACTGATTCACGACACGTCGTTACGTCCCGGGTGACAGTAGTCAGTGTGTGTGTGTGTGTGTGTAGCTGAGTGATGAGTGGGGGGGGGTCATCAAACTGTCTGTGATGACAGAGAGTCAAGATGGATTTACAGGGTTAAAATCCTACTCTCTCTCTCTGTGTGTGTGTGTGTGTGTGTCCTCACACTTGGGCAGGAGTGCAGACAGGCTGGAACTAATTTAATGCCTTGCTGACCTCACTGCAGCAAAGTCAAGTTGCTCCTAATAGACGTCTTTGTCTGGAGCCACACATGTGAGTGAGCGTGGCTGTTCACAGGTCCACGAGCCTCAGGTGGAAGCAATTAAAACTGTCATAAAGTTTGAAAAATGGACGCTGGAGCAGAGCTGAGCTGATTGGAACAGACAGTGTTGTCTCTGGGGCGAGAGAGAGAGAGAGAGAGAGAGAGAGGTGAATGAACAGGACGGAGAACTGGTCCAACCTGCTGCTGGTGTTTGACTCTGCAGACCAGTCCCAGTGGACGGGTCTTGATTAATGTTGTTCTGGAAGATTCTCTGCTTCATTTCTACATGAATTTGATTTTTATCACAAACTGAACATGTGGCCAGTTTTACTGACGGGGTTTTAACGGTTAAACAGTCCATGGTGGTCGTGGAGACCATCACAGCTTTTTAAATAAATAAATTTAATATGAAAAATAACTTTATGTATTTATACCTTAGTGTATTTATAATTATAGATTTATTTTTACCATTTATTGTGTCTTAAAAAAATATTTCTATTTTTTATATTTAATATTTCTTTTTTTTTCTATTTCCTTCTTATTTTGCGCTGACATCAGGTTATTCCAGCCGCTCCGTGATGGAGTCGATCAGTGGCGTTTAGTTTAAGTCGGTGTAAGTAGTTGATCCCAGTAATTGGAATCTGATTGGTTCCCATGTTACTGCAGTTAAAGACGAGTTTTCTGACAGAGAGCGTTTACGGCCCAGTGTGTACCCACCATTACACTGTCACAGCTGATGACGGTTGGTCACAGACAGAGGCTGCTGCTGCTGCTGCTGCTGCTGCTGCTGCTGCTGCTGAGAGCGTAATGTTTGTCTTCCTGCTGTGGTCCCGTCTGATCTCTGTCGCCCCCTGCAGCCTCACACGCTCTGTTGACTTTTGTTCTTCTCGGCTCTTCACGTTTCAGACGTGAAAACCCAAAGGTCCACTTCTTCACTGCTGGTTTTTTAAAAATGTCAGTGTAATTCTGATCATTATCTCTCCGCCCTGGGGGGGGCGGGGGGTTTACACTCCCCCGTCTCCACAGGTGGAAATGATTTCTGGGTTTCCGACTGTCAGAGCTGAAGTTCAGAACCGTTCCTCAGAACCTTTATTGCAGAACTAAACAGGTTTTTATTGCGGCGTGACACCTTCAGAACACGAGCGTGAAGTCGAGCGCTGAGCGCCTCCACCGGTTTGGCCGCGGCCCTGGAGCTTCAGTTTATTTTGACAAGTAATCCAATATCCAAACGGAGACGAGGTGGAATTAAAACCCCGCTTCCTGTGAAAATACCACTCACAGGAACGGACCTGCAGCCTCGCTGCCCAGGAAAATGAATTCCTCTCAGCCGCCAACGCCGCCGCGCCGCCGCCGCTGCAACACGTCGGCCCATAAAAATCAAATTGGTCCAATTGGCCTCTCCACGCTCCGGGGCAATTATGAAAAATTGTAAGCAGATGGTTAAATGTCTTCATTCCTCCTTCTGGGGAACATGTGGGGCAGTATTTGGACCTGGAGGGCTTTTAATTTTTTTTTTTTTTTTACTGTGTCCAGTGAGAGGTGTGTTTATNNCCCTGCGGCCGTGTCACTGACACGGCAGAGAGTTTGATTTCAGCCTCATCAGGAGCGAAGCGGCCGCGGCCAACGAGTGGTTTAATCAGCTCTAAAACAACAGAGGAGGAAGAGGAGGAAGAGGAGGAGAGGAGGAGAGGATGGGATCAGATCTGCCCCGGAGTGGAGGGGGGGGCAAGGAGGGAACTAAGAAGGAAGAAGTGTTTTACTGCAGTACTTCCCTGTGTTTTACTGCAGTACTTCCCTGTGTTTTACTGCAGTACTTCCCTGTGTTTTACTGCAGTACTTCCCTGTGTTTTACTGCAGTACTTCCCTGTGTTTTACTGCAGTACTTCCCTGTGTTTTACTGCAGTACTTCCCTGTGTTTTACTGCAGTACTTCCCTGTGTTTTACTGCAGTACTTCCCTGTGTTTTACTGCAGTACTTCCCTGTGTTTTACTGCAGTACTTCCCTGTGTTTTACTGCAGTACTTCACTCGTTGTCGTTGATCAACAGTCATGGATTTTCTCCTGATCTTCCCTCCTTCGTTTCCTTTCCTCATCGAAGGACTTTGACCTGGAGTTTTTTGTTGCCACTCGCTCCACTTCCTGTTTCCTCCTCCTCCTCGTCCTCCTCGTGGTCGGCGGTCCGGGCGACTCTCCGGCTCCGTCGTCAGCTGCTCCTCATCGATCAGTTTCCTCAGTGTAGAAAACTGATCATGTGGTCGCCGTGGAAACAGGATTAAGTCGACCAATCACATTTACAGATTAGCCTCTCCTCACGTATGGGTTCAGTCAGCTGATCAATACAAACACACTCTGCGGCGGCCAATCCTGTTTGACTAACGAGCATCGACGCTGAATATAATCTGGTTTAATCCCAGAGGTGAGAGGCCGCTCCATCAGAGCTGGAGGAGAGGACGGGGGGGGGGGGGGGGTGAAGGGGGGGGGGGGGCGGGC